AAAAATAATATATTTAACAAAGGATTTCTCTAGGCATGCCTTTATGAATATAAAGTTTGAATATGCATCTATCATTGATTAAAAAAATCAGCTCATTTTGTCGAGCCGTAGTAGAGATATTCAAGTTTTTTCAGCAAGGTGACTTTTGCGTAACTCTCTATGTTGTTTTTTGCCTATCTGTGAAAAATTAATTCTTTGTTGAAGTCAATAATGGTGCTTAATAAAATGTTTTCAATAATCTTAGTCGTATGGATTTGAAGTGTCAACATGCCTTTATCTTTGATAAAAGAAATGAGCCCGTTTGGTCGATTCGCAGAGTAACTTAGATATTCAATTGTTTCACTGTAAAATGACTTTTGGGACACCCTGTGACATATGAAAGTAATTAAGCTGGATCAATGGTTTTCTCTACTAGCCTATCTCATTACAATTTGCAAGTTTCACATAGACATTCATCACACTCGACGTTGCTAGAAATTTAATAGGACCTGCCGGTGCACAACATCTCACCAATGCTTTAAAGAACAACACAGTGAGCCACATTCTCTATCGATATGTGTCATTATCATCTGTATTTTTCACACAGACAGTCACCACACTCGAACTTTCTACAAATCAAATGCGAAATTCTGGGATACAAAGCCTCGCTAATATTTTAGAGAATAATAAGGTGAACTGTGTTCTTCACTCATTTGTCCCATTATCGTCTGCATTTTTCGCACAGATGATCACCACAGTTGATCTTGCTACAAATAGGATCGGACCTAGCGGGGCACAGTATCTCGCCCGCGTTCTCAAAACTAACATGGTGAGTCACATTCTTTTATTCTCTCTCTCTCTTTCTCTCTCTCCTTACTATCTGAACTTTTTTTGCAGACCCTAACCACACTCGACCTTCATGAAAATCCAATCGGAGACTTAGGGATAGAACATCTCGCCAATGCTCTCTCATGCAAGACGGTGCATTCTATTTTTTCTTCTTCTCTGTTCTTACCAGCTGCATTTTTCTATGCAGACACTCATCACACTCAATCTTAGCAGAACTCATATCGAAAACAAAGGTGTAGAATATCTCGCCAATGCACTCTCATACAACACAGTGAATGACAATCTCTTCTTATTTCTCTCATCATTATCTAAACTTTTCTTCATAGGCGCTCACTACACTCGACCTTGCTCGAAATCAAATTGGAGGACAAGGAGTAGAACATCTCGCCAATGCTCTCTCAAAAAATACAGTGAAGGCAGTCTCTATTCATCTCTCATAACCATCTGTACTTTTTCACACAGGCACTAGTCGCACTAAATCTTTCTGCAAATCAAATCGGAACTGTAGGGGCACAACATCTCGCCAATGCTTTACAAAAAAACACTGTAAACACAATTCTTTATTCGTGTCGCTTATTATCACAAGAAATTCTTCACACAGACACTCACCACGCTCGATATTGGATGCAATGAAATCGGACATCTGGGGGCTCGAAATCTCGCCACGGCTTTACAAAACAATACAGTATAGATTATTCTTGACTTCTCTCTTTCACTGCTATTTCCACTTTTCATACAGACACTAATCAGATTGCACCTTACTGTTAATAGAATTGCAGACGAAGGGGTACAACATCTCGCCAATGCTCTTTTAAATAATGCAGTGAATCGCATTCTTCCTCTAATCTCCCCCATTCTTATATGCACATTCTTCTACAGACACTCACTACACTCAATCTCACGGGCAATCAAATCGAAGGACAGGGGGTGCAATATATCGCCGATGCTCTTTTAAAAAATACAGTAAGCCACATTCTTCTTCTGATCTTTCCCATAATTACATGCGCATTTTTCTACAGACACTCACTACACTCAATCTCGCGGACAATCAAATCGAAGAACTGGGAGTGCAGTATCTTTCCAATGCTCTCTTAAACAATAAGGTGAGCCAAATTCTCTACTTATTTCTCCCGTCACTGTCTCTATTTTATTTTACACAGACACTTACCACACTTGACATTAATTGGAATCGAATCGGCGACCAAGGTGCAGAATATCTCGCCAATGTTTTATACCATAACACGGTGAACTGCATTCTCTATTAATATCTCTCATTATCATCTGTCTTTTTCATACAGACACTCAGAACACTTGATATTCATTGGAATCAAATTGGTGATCTGGGAGCGCAACATTTAGCCAATGCTTTGCATAACAACACGGTGATACTCATTCTGTCTTCATCTCTCTCATTACCGTATGAATTTTCTTTGATTTAGACACTTCATAAGTTGGTTGTGAGGTATGGCAACAATATTTCGTCGACACTGTTCGAAGAATTCGAAAAGACAGATAACCGATTGATTTGATAGAAATAAATATATGCTTGACTAGAAATTAGCTTTTTCTATGCATAATATGCTGGATATCTGACAGTTGCTGGCACTATGATCCCACAGTATAGGCATCGATGGGCGTAACTGAATGCACCTTTCAAGCTAATGTGCTTTTCTACTGCCATCTAGACTGTCTCTTTGGTTCAAATAAAAGAGAACTCTCCCAACTAGATGTCATACAGAATAGAACAACTGACATTGTTGAATGAGTGAAATAAATTCTTGAAGAGTGATCCTGATTTAAAATCGCTCGTGCTCAACAGTAAACACGAGAACAAAACCATTTTTCGTCGAAGAATAAGTATTTAATATCAAGTAACTTAAAGAGGGATATCCATTTCTCGACTATTTGATTCTTGTTGTTCAAGCCAAAAGCGTGATCCAAACTTAGTTCTGCTCATCATATCATAATTTCTTGAATCCGAATCAGAAGGGGCATAGAATAAAAGTGGAATCTAAAGAATATAAAATATTCGAGGTGAAAAATGGCCAGTCGTTGTATATAACGAATCTCTATCGGATAATTGCACTTACTTTGTATTCTGTAACTTTACGCAACGTTGCATTACTAAGAAATTTTAATCAGAAAATATTTCAAACAAGGAATGTAATAACGATAAATATCGCTATTCCGGGTGTGGGTGTGGGTCTAGGTGTGAGTGTATGTCGATGAAGAGAAGAGGGTGTGCGCATTGGTGTGGATCTTCGATTCTCTTACACTCACACCCAACCACACTCACACCCAACCACACCCACACCAATATCTACACCTACACGCCCACATTCACAGTTACATCCCACAGCCACAGCCACAGCCACACCCGACACCCACTCACACCCACACCACACCCCCCACCCCCATCCACACCCACACCCTTTTTTTCTTTTAAGAGTACAGTGTGTAGAGTGTAATATATAGATGTATGTGCGCTGACATTTTTGGATTTGGTTGAAATAAAAGAAAAGGTCGAACATCAGATCTTCTCACAAATACAACCAAACACAACAGGTCTAACTATTGTGTATACTGTCTGAATTCCGGCGGATATTAGACAATAAAATACCGAGCAAGAATTGATATTGTCGTAGTTCCTAAAGAATTTCGACAATTGTAGAAAATCGGCAATATTGTCCAACTTCCAATGGACCTTGGACATTTTTCGAAATTCTAGTGAAATTTGGACACTGTGGAAATTTTGATTGCGAAATTCCTGTTGTCGAAATTCCACGCAACCTCTGAATTCAGTTGAGTTATATAAAGAAAAATAATTGAATTATACAGGCTTATTCAAACTGTGACAATCGTTTAGTTTGACTGATTTTATAATAACATTACTAATAGTAATATCGAGAATGCTTTCCACAATCGGTTAATCGTTTTGCTTATTTTCATATTGATTAATTTTATTGCATTGATTGGATATATCGAAAAAAACTTGACATATACTTACGTGTCAGTAAATAAAACGAAGGCGTCATCGTACTTTTGTGGAACTCACGTATGTTTTCGAAGAAAATAGTAAGTGTAAGTTTTCAGTTCGAGGTTGGCGGCTCCCCTCCCCCCTCCCACCCCATTACAGACACATAGCAACGGGAAAGAGAACATTACAGACATACCCCCCATTACAGACCTTGGCAATTTCATGAAAAAAGAATTCTGTTCGAAATTGAGAGATAAAAATATAGCATTTTCTAATAATCGATTATCTTTAGAATAGAACTATTATCTTTTGGAGATTTTAAATATTGGGTATTTTGTCATTAGTATAATGAAACCAAAGGAGATATGTGAGTTCCACATTTCAACCTCAAACGGGCTGCGCTAACAAGCTTTTTTGATCAAATGATAGAAAAACAAATACTTGCACTCTTCTTATGTATGAGAAACCTATGATTTATAAATAGCAAAAATGGTTGATTAATATTTATCAGTTGATTCTGTCGAAGATATCACATGAAGAGTAAATGGTGATGTTGAATTAACAAAATTTACCTTTTCATAAAGTCGATCTCTTTGCAAATTAGTGTTAGGTAGTGGCACTATCTTTCACCCACTACCTCCCTTTTCTTCTTTCTCTTCAATGTTCTATTGATTGGTCATCTGTATGATCCATAAGGATATATATATGGATCGGTTATTATTAGTTTTTAGTTAATATTAGAGTTAGTTTTGTTAGTCTAAATAAAGGTGAACCAGGAGAAGGTTAGTCAACAGACTAACAATTGGTGTCGTGACCCGTCGTGATCCATTTCAACCACAATTCGTCGAACACGATAAGATTTTTTGTCCTTTAGTTCGTTCGTTTTTTAGCTAGTCCTGATCGTATTCGATTTATCTCCATTGTTTATCCTGGCTTAACTTTTGTCCTTATGTTTGTGATCCTTTACTCCTTATTCGTACCTATATTTATGCTACAGTCCTGATCATTATATTGTTGTTTATTACAACTCACCAAGAGATTATGTTTGTCTTGATGTTCGTTATTTGGACATTATTATTCTAAATGGTGTTTATGTAATTCTTCTGATCATTGCATTGTTCATTACTTTTATTATCCTGTTTCTGCTGAATTTAGTATTTGTCTTATTGTTTATCGTGCAGTATTATTATTAAGTATGGAAGAACAGTCGTTGAAAATTTTAGCTAAAAAACTAATCAAAAGTCTTGTTAGATTTGGTGGTGCACGTAATGAAGATATTGTTACATGGTTACACAATGCTGAAGAAGTATTTGATCGAGCACAACTTCGACCATCAAATAAATATATAGCTGTACAATACTATTTAACTCATATGGCTGAAAAATGGTTTCGATTGACTAAGCCATCTATTCCTGATTGGTCCACATTTAAACATGAAATTATTAAAGCTTTTCAACCAACATGTCATCAAACATTCTTAAAAATGAAACAATGTTGACAATTACCTCATGAATCTGTTATGGAATATTATTCTGATAAAATTCAACTGTGTTTACAAGCTGATTCAAATATAAGTGTATCAATAATAATTCATCATTTAATTACAAGATTAACACAATCATTAATTCCTCATGTTATTCGTCGACATCCTTCTACACTTACTGATTTCCTTACTACTGCACAAGAGGAAGAACAAATACAATTTACATTAAATGATTTATCAC